ACTGCTCTGATGGGGATCACAATAGAGGGTCCTGGACAGAGCTGGAGAAAAATGTAGAACAAAATTCTAACTCACAAAAAAAAAAAAAACAGACTTACTGGTCTCACGGAGACTGGAGAAAGCCCGAGAGTATGGCCCCCAGACACCCTTTTAACTCAGTACTGAAGTCACTCCTGAGGTTCACCCTTCAACCAAAGATTAGACAAGCCCGTAAGACAAACAATAACACACATAGTTCAACCATGTATATGAGACTAAGTGGGCACACCAGCCCAGGGGCAAGGATGAGAAGGCAGGAGGGGGCAGGAAAGCTGGACAAATGGAAATGGAGAACCCAAGGTCTAGAAGGGGAGAGTGTTGACATACCGCGGGGTTGGCAATCAATGTCACAAAACATTATGTGTATTGATTGTTTAATGAGAAACTAATTTGCTCTGTAAACTTCCACTGAAAGTACAATAAAAAAAGAGAAAAAAAATTGCAATTTTAACCATTTTTAATTGTACAATTCAGTGACATGAATTACATTAATCTTGTTGTGCAACCATTATCACTGTTTATTTCCAAAAGTTTGTCACCTCAAACATAAACTCTGTACCCCCGAAGCAATAATTCCCCATTCCCTCCTTTCCCTAGCCAACATCTATTTTCTGTCTCAATGCATTTGCCTGTTCTAGATATTTTATATATGTGGAATCACGTTTATTCTTTTGTGTCTGACTTAGTTCACCCAGCATTTTTTTTTTTAGCATCATGTTTTCAAGGTTTATCCATGTTGTAGCATGTATCAGAACTTCGTTCCTCTTTATGGCTGAATAATACTCCACTGTATGTATGTGCCACATCTTGTTTGTCCATTTGTCTGTTGCTGGACATTTGGGTTCTTTCCAATTTTGGCTATTGTGAATAATGCTGCAATGAACATTGGTGTACATGTATCTGTTTAAGTCCCTGCTTTCAAGTCTTTTGGGCATATACCTAGGAATGGAATTGCTGGGTCATATAGGGTAATTCTGTATTTAACTTTTGAGGAGAGGAGGAACAATTTTATTTATTTATTTTATTTTTTTTATTGTACTTCAGGTGAAGGCTTACAGAACAAATAGTTTCTCATGAAACAGAAGTACACATGTTGTTTTATAACATTGGTTAACAACCCCACAACATATCAACCCTCTAACTTCTCAATCTCTTTTTTTTTTTGGTGAAAATACACATAGCCAAAGATA